TCATATTTTATCCTCAATAAATAAAGTTTAATATAATTATATTTTATATGACGGGTTACCATGACAATAAAATCACCTTATTATGAATTTTAACCTGGTACTATTAACAAAACAGTCTTTTAGCTGAATATAAATTGCCGAGTACCCGAATATTTATTCGTAACCAATGTATTGCTCTTTGCGCTTGGAATCGTTGTCTTCTTTAATCAAACTGCAGTTGACGTCTTAGAATGAATTGCATGCTGATTCCAGACGACACTGATAAGGCTGTGTGTTTTTCACATTTTACCTTGTCAATGCCTTGACTTATGCCTAACAGTTTCCCATGTGTTCCATTGACTAGTACTCATTACTCTTGGTTAATCGTTTACATTTGAAATAATCGTTTAATAAGCGCCCAGGTTTGTCTGATAACACTTTTTACTTATGCATGTTTTGTATTACCGTAAATCACCCATGTTTGCCCTTCAACATTTCTCACACTATAACCCTTTCCAGAGTGTCAATGATCCAACTATTTTAAATCTAAGATATGTGTTGCAGTTTCACATAGTTTGGGACTATCATCTTTTTCGAGGAACATAAAAGGAAGTCTAACATTTGCTGTTTCAGAAGTACATTAAATACAGCCTATTAAAAGAGTATTTATAGCAAAACAATATTAAGAAACAGGTTTCTAATATACAAAAAAGAAACCAGTATTCAAATTGCTTTGGTTAAATGCTTGGGTTTCAGTTACAGATGTTAGAAACTAAGTATATCACTTAGTAGTGGCTAAGGAAATATAAAGGTTCCAGTAAGAAAACAACATAAAGTCGGCATCAGTTCTGTATATATTTTTTTACAGAAGAGCTTCATCAAGGGACGTTATTCAAATTAATGTGCCATTTTGGAAAGGAATAGGCCAGAACCCGTTTTCATGAAACCGTGCTCTTGCTCAAGCATTGATTTTGTGCTCAAGTCTAATTTCTTAAGGTAGCACTATTAACTCGGCATAAGTTCCTCGCTATCACAAGGAGACAAACACGAACATGTTGCAGCCTCCCAAAACACATACACTACATGTATGCATCTTGCACACGGGAGGCCGTCCTTAAATGACCATAGCTGTTGATAAGACGTTAAACAATACTAAACCAAACTAAACCAATTGTACCAGATGCTGTAGGTAGAACACCTGTCTAGCTGGATATAATCGGTTGTTGTCAACTGGTCAAATATACAACGGTGTTCAATCTTTTTTCGATATGGTAAAATTAGTTTATTAACCCGTCCTTGATGTCGATTTCTTCGACGTTGTTTAGACGCCAGATGGACACATACTTGTGGTATGGTGATCTTAGTTTCCATTTGACGGTAACATCATAAAATCAAATGACCCGCTTTAACCCATTGCAGTATCAAAAGAAACTACTAGTAAGGGCCCTTCAGCAGAATCTATGAATTTCGCCTCCGACCTATTTTTTCGTGATGTTTTACTTGGTACTCTTCTTTTCTGTACTTCTATTATTTTTTTTCGGCGGTGTCTATCTTGGTACTTCTTGCAACCGCGTTGTCATAACAATACAACCGAAGGGCTGTCATATGACCGTTTCTAAGTAATAGCATTTCTAGTGAGATGTCCTTTATGCAATTGCATTGCTTGGCCCCGTAAAATGTGGACCTTACATTGCATGTTGGCTGGCATTAGCTGATGTGAGAACCCAGAGCTATAACGTACGAAACCAACTTCATTTACTAAGAACTGCATATGATCCAAAACTATAACAAACAATCCTTAGGGACAATTGTTTTAGGTAAGTGTAGTCCTGGAAGACGCCCGAAAAATCATTATATAATATTCGGGAAATATCGCTTACCAAATGCATATTTAAAGAAATTGAACGATTAAACCACCCAAACTTCGGTCCGTTGACCTGTTTCCCAATTATTTAGTGATAATGTTAAACCATGCAGTAGATATGCATTTGATCGTATGCCTAATACTGTAATTTGTCAACGTTTAGTATTTATTTAAGAGAACATGACGGTAATGTTTGGTAAGTTATTGCATGGCGATTGACAATTTCGCAAAACTCCTTTGTTTTGCTGCATCACGCACTACGTTCAATTTTAGCCTGGTAGGAATTCATTTACTAATGAAAAATGACATTGTGAAGAGAATTGTTTTTTCAATTTCCACATGAAATGATAGTTCTAGCAGTCAAGGTCGGCGGATTAATTACAGTTTGAGTGCTTATGTTAGAAATAATCCTTCTCTTGAAATCTGGTTGAATTGATTTTTGTTCAATCAAATTGTATCAATATGGAGTACTTTTTGTAATNTTAAAAAAAAAAAAAAAAAAAAAAAAGAAGAAGATAATTAAGACATCCTCTTTCACCCTATCTATACGGTAAACCTTATCATATGCTTTCAATATAAACAGCATTTTCTCAGTTTTTAGAAATTTAGAAACACCGAAATATAATACATTATGTGATACGTTGGCTTGTTGTTATCATGTCGTCTATACTTGCTTCTGTTCGATCTGGGTTTGAAATTCTTTTTTACCACCAATTTATATCTAAACGTCCTTTACACTAATTAGCTTTCTATATTAACCACCTGCTAATGAGAAGCTTTTGATATCCGTTTGTTAACGTCAGCTCGTATTTTTTTTTTTTTTTTTAAATGCGTTTATATTGATAATACTTTTTTGTCTATCCTATAAAACATAGGTAATTAACCTAATGAAAATTTTAAAAAAAATATCAATAAAAAATAAAAATATAGTAGTTGATACTGCAAACAGCAAAACGGAGGAAAAAATATCAATACATCTATGAAGCTATAAAAACAAACTATCAAAGACAGAAAAGCAAAGGCAATTAGGAAATAATACATTTTCGTCCACTAACATTTCTGACATTACACAAAGACATCTTGTAAGAATAATAGTGCAGTATTCTAGCCATTATAATCGCCATACGATCGTCTGGACAATCTCCGTATAACAATTTCTGCCTCGTTTTGACGAGTTATGACACGTGTGCATTATCGCGTAAGCAGCTTTCACGGCCATATATAGTCCTTTTGTGACGTTTATAGAGTCGGTAACGTCACTGGTCTGTGCTTCAGTTAAACGTAGGGTTGAATCATAGACATGTTGTATTAACACATCCATATTCATTGTGACATAGCGGTTCCGTCGGCAAAAAGCTTTGTAAGTTTAGAATCGTATTTATTTGTACATGAGTTCTATAAAGACTGTTATCTTAGCCGAAACCTCCCATGTCTATGACTGGAACACTATCTTAATTTACCATATAACTATTTATATCATTCCAATCATTCCCAGAAAATGCTTGTGTGCATGTTTCAAATATACTATTTCCGGAACGACACGTCTGGTAACCATGGTATTTTTTGTTGGTTATAAAGAACAACCATTTAAATCGACTTAAATCTTCATTTTTTAAAGAAATCTTGTAAAACTTAGTGCCATTGGATAGAGTTATATATCCCCAAATGACACGATTGGTTACCATTTTAATTCCTATTTATGATAAAAAAAAATCAACACCTGCTGAAACCTTCATATTTTAGCTATCTCGTAAAATTTGGTATTATTGGAAACGGAATTTTACAAGATTTTTAATGAAAACGTTAATTCAGCTGATTATGAGAACTACCGACATTCTTAAACTATACACCAACAGAAACAATCTCCAAACCGGAAATACATTTCTATTCACATGCTTGCGCAAACAGGCTGCGTTTTAAATTTTCGTTTGGAATACCTCAGTATTTCTCTTTTCACTGTGTTTTCGGAAGTTGTGATTCACAAATATTACATATTGTATAGTCACAAATTATTGAATCCGCGAAGAAACAAACAGGGAGAGATACCGATGAAGTGAATACTTTGTTATCACTTATATTCGCGGAGTTTTTAATTTCGTTGATTTCGCGGGTAATCTTCATCCACGAATTCATAGATCCACGAAGAAATTACAAGTCTCATATAAAGCAATTCTCCGTTTGATTGGGTACTCGTATTCACCGAATTAGTGGAACCACGAAAATGTGTTTTGTTGGAAAACCACGAAATTTGGGACCCTCGGAAATATCTAATGTTACAGTAATACCTATAATGATAATAACACTGATTTCATTTTGCATCTGAACGGGACTGCAAACTGTCGAATCATCTATTCGTGAATGCGGACAACTGGTTCGTCTGTTTTTAAATGTAATATTTTAAGGTTTAAATTTTGGCGAACCTGCAAATGTTTATGCAGGCCTTGTCAAGGCTCGCCCGAGGGCAGCATCAGTTTCCTAGGTCAAACCTTATTTCATAAACGAAGCAACTCTGGTCCAACTGTTTGAATCGAGATAAACGAAAGCGGCTATGTGACTTAGCCTAACAGAAGAGCATGCATGATACAACGGAAAGCTTCACAAGAAATGAACAATTTTTTTTTTGGTTTGTTTGTGTTTTACGTCCTATTAACAACTATGGTCATTTAAGGACGTGCCAGATTGTATTGGTGGAGGAACACCAGAGTACCCGGAGAAAAAACCACCGACCTACGGCCAGTTCCTGGCGACTGCTCTACGTAAGTCTCGAACCCGCGACCCAGTGGTAGAGGGCTAGTGGAAGCAGAATGTCAGACGCCTTAACCACTTGGTCATTGCGGCCCCTGGAATGGACAGGCTTACAATGCACCGTACACTGGCCTATGCGATGGCCACCATTGTCTGTGCAGTCGAGGTCGTTCCCCGTAACTGTCCGCAATTAGATGTGTATATGGTCAAGACCGACCATTTTGGAACCAATAACTTAATTTATTATTCTTTATTGAACAGCTGCTGTATCAATATATACGAAGTATGTGTTGGTTTGTACTATTATGTACCTAATATGGCTTCCCGTACCGTTATTATTCATTTTGAGTCCGTCTTCAAAGACACCCAAAAGTCTGTTTGAACATAATTTGTGGTAATTTAGGGTTGAAATATGAGGTGAGAATGTCCCTGTCTGAAGAAGAATGTGTGTATTTCTTCTGATAAATAAATATATAGCTTCAGCATGCACACTATAGGACTTTATATGTACACGTGATCAAGTAACTTGATTCATATGACTTTTTGGAGGGGGGTATTGTTGTTAGTGCCCTCGTAACAGCTAAAGGTCATATGCAAACGGGAACCTAGGGGGGTACTGCCAAAAAAGAAAGAAATTATATAGATACCAGCTTTCGCCACAGGGGAAGCACATCAGTGTTGAGTTCTTCAATCCTCCTTAGCACAAAGCAAAATAAAACACCCGGGCCCTTGTAGGGATCACCTCTCATCATATACAGTGGGATATAGCGGCATGTTCGTCCCCCTAACCTACCGGGGTCAAATACGTCATTTTGATCACGAACGAGACTGATGCACAGTTTTCATGCAAAATGATAATAACTTGCGTTTTGTCGTATTCAGTCATAAGGTCACTCAGCTGAATTGAATAAACTCTAAAATTTAGCTAATCTTTATAACGTTCATGTATCTGGCTAAGAAATCATGTTATCTGTTTATGGAGTAGACAGTTTGATCGTAGAAACAGATTTTAAACAAATATCGCTGAATTTTGTTGAAATTCAGGTGCCCGACAAACGTATCTACTTAAAATTTATTACATAATATTAAATTATACAAGCGTTATTAATACCTTTGGTTTTATCGGAAACGCTGGAAAGCATTAACATATGTCTTTCAACTGTTTCAATTTAATTATAATGTAATGTTGGGAGACGGTGTTAATAGGTTGTTACAGTCTGTGTCTTACGTGGGGTTTAACGTCCTCGCAACAGCCAGGGTTATGTAAGGACGAGTGCCTAGGGAGACAACAGCCAGGGTTATACAAGGACGAGTGCCTAGGGAGACAACAGCCCAGGTCATGTAAGGACGAGTGAGGGAGACAACAGCCAGGGTCAGATAAGGACGAGTGCATAGGGAGACAACAGCCCAGGTCATGTAAGGACGAGTGAGGGAGACAACAGCCAGGGTCATGTAAGGACGAGTGCCTAGGGAGACAACAGCCCAGGTCATATAAGGATGAGTGCCTAGGGAGACAACAGTCAGGGTCATATAAGGACAAGTGAGGGAGACAACAGCCAGGGTCATATAAGGACAAGTGCCTAGGGAGACAACAGCCAGGGTCATATAAGGACGAGTGAGGGAGACAACAGCCAGGCTTATACAAGGACGAGTGCCTAGGGAGACAACAGCCAGGGTCATATAAGGATGAGTGCCTAGGGAGACAACAGCCAGGGTCATATAAGGACGAGTGCCTAGGGAGACAGCAGCCAGGGTCATATAAGGACGAGTGAGGGAGACAACAGCGAGGGTCATATAAGGACGAGTGAGGGAGACAACAGCCAGGCTTATACAAGGACGAGTGCCTAGGGAGACAACAGCCAGGGTCATATAAGGACGAGTGCCTAGGGAGACAGCAGCCAGGGTCATATAAGGACGAGTGAGGGAGACAACAGCGAGGGTCATATAAGGACGAGTGAGGGAGACAACAGCGAGGGTCATATAAGGACGAGTGAGGGAGACAACAGCGAGGGTCATATAAGGACGAGTGAGGGAGACAACAGCCAGGGTCATATAAGGACGAGTGCCTAGGGAGACAACAGCCAGGGTCATATAAGGACGAGTGCCTAGGGAGACAGCAGCCAGGGTCATATAAGGACGAGTGAGGGAGACAACAGCGAGGGTCATGTAAGGACGAGTGAGGGAGACAACAGCGAGGGTCATGTAAGGACGAGTGAGGGAGACAACAGCGAGGGTCATGTAAGGACGAGTGAGGGAGACAACAGCGAGGGTCATGTAAGGACGAGTGAGGGAGACAACAGCGAGGGTCATGTAAGGACGAGTGAGGGAGACAACAGCGAGGGTCATGTAAGGACGAGTGAGGGAGACAACAGCGAGGGTCATGTAAGGACGAGTGAGGGAGACAACAGCGAGGGTCATGTAAGGACGAGTGAGGGAGACAACAGCGAGGGTCATGTAAGGACGAGTGAGGGAGACAACAGCGAGGGTCATGTAAGGACGAGTGAGGGAGACAACAGCGAGGGTCATGTAAGGACGAGTGAGGGAGACAACAGCGAGGGTCATGTAAGGACGAGTGAGGGAGACAACAGCGAGGGTCATGTAAGGACGAGTGAGGGAGACAACAGCGAGGGTCATGTAAGGACGAGTGAGGGAGACAACAGCGAGGGTCATGTAAGGACGAGTGAGGGAGACAACAGCGAGGGTCATGTAAGGACGAGTGAGGGAGACAACAGCGAGGGTCATGTAAGGACGAGTGAGGGAGACAACAGCGAGGGTCATGTAAGGACGAGTGAGGGAGACAACAGCGAGGGTCATGTAAGGACGAGTGAGGGAGACAACAGCGAGGGTCATGTAAGGACGAGTGAGGGAGACAACAGCGAGGGTCATGTAAGGACGAGTGAGGGAGACAACAGCGAGGGTCATGTAAGGACGAGTGAGGGAGACAACAGCGAGGGTCATGTAAGGACGAGTGAGGGAGACAACAGCGAGGGTCATGTAAGGACGAGTGAGGGAGACAACAGCGAGGGTCATGTAAGGACGAGTGAGGGAGACAACAGCGAGGGTCATGTAAGGACGAGTGAGGGAGACAACAGCGAGGGTCATGTAAGGACGAGTGAGGGAGACAACAGCGAGGGTCATGTAAGGACGAGTGAGGGAGACAACAGCGAGGGTCATGTAAGGACGAGTGAGGGAGACAACAGCGAGGGTCATGTAAGGACGAGTGAGGGAGACAACAGCGAGGGTCATGTAAGGACGAGTGAGGGAGACAACAGCGAGGGTCATGTAAGGACGAGTGAGGGAGACAACAGCGAGGGTCATGTAAGGACGAGTGAGGGAGACAACAGCGAGGGTCATGTAAGGACGAGTGAGGGAGACAACAGCGAGGGTCATGTAAGGACGAGTGAGGGAGACAACAGCGAGGGTCATGTAAGGACGAGTGAGGGAGACAACAGCGAGGGTCATGTAAGGACGAGTGAGGGAGACAACAGCGAGGGTCATGTAAGGACGAGTGAGGGAGACAACAGCGAGGGTCATGTAAGGACGAGTGAGGGAGACAACAGCGAGGGTCATGTAAGGACGAGTGAGGGAGACAACAGCGAGGGTCATGTAAGGACGAGTGAGGGAGACAACAGCGAGGGTCATGTAAGGACGAGTGAGGGAGACAACAGCGAGGGTCATGTAAGGACGAGTGAGGGAGACAACAGCGAGGGTCATGTAAGGACGAGTGAGGGAGACAACAGCGAGGGTCATGTAAGGACGAGTGAGGGAGACAACAGCGAGGGTCATGTAAGGACGAGTGAGGGAGACAACAGCGAGGGTCATGTAAGGACGAGTGAGGGAGACAACAGCGAGGGTCATGTAAGGTCGAGTGGGGGAGACAACAGCGAGGGTCATGTAAGGACGAGTGAGGGAGACAACAGCGAGGGTCATATAAGGACGGGTGAGGGAGACAACAGCCAGGTCATATAAGGACGAGTGAGGGAGACAACAGCGAGGGTCATATAAGGACGGGTGAGGGAGACAACAGCCAGGGTCATGTAAGGACGAGTGCCGAGAGAGAAAACAGCGAGGGTCATGTAAGGACGAGTGAGGGAGACAATAGCCAGGGTCATATAAGGACGAGTGAAGGAGTCAACAGCCAGGGTCATGTAAGGACGAGTGCCTATAGGGACAATCGATTTTATCTTAAATGTTGGAGAGTCGTGTTTCTGATCTTGCTCGATACAAGCGGCACTTGTGAAACGAAAATACCAGAAGGAGTGAAATATAGAAGGAGAAGGCAACAGTGGCACGGGAAATGATGAACATTAGAAAAGCAGAGTGTTATGAATAGTGGACAGTGTTACTAGTGCCGTCTGTGTCGGAGAAGATCACTGCTACGATATCACATTAAACTATCTAAGCTGTGACCAACTCCCTCCCCCCAAACTTCTCTCTCAAATTTGGTTTCTTCCATATTCCCTTTGTAGAAGACAGAACAAAACCCCCAATACTGAAGGGCCCCCACATTAAACGCCATTTACGATACACATGCAGCGAGATACAGCAGGTACATTTATTTATAAATAAGCAGCGGATAACACGCTCGACGTTTTTGACATAATTTCAAACATTGTGTCAACATGTATGTTTACAGATAAACAACAGATTTAATGTCAAAGAAGCAGTTATGTCTGTGTAGGAATGTTTTTTTTTATACAGAACGTGTGTATTTATGTATACAGCATTGATAACAATATGATACTATATAGCCAGTGTTGAAATATTAATCAAACATGTCGTCAAAATAAAGTTTGGACGTCGCAGACGTTGTGCCTGCTGCTCGTAACGAAACATATATATATATATATAGGGGCGCGATTGTTCTGGAATAATTAAAAAATCATACAAAAAAGTATAATCAGCTATATGCGATGTGAAATCTAAATTTATCCGTACATTATGTTGTAAATGATTGGCGTAGATATATCATGTTACGCTAGCCTGCTGTTTCGACACACAAACTCCCTTTTTAGCGCTTCTTTCCATTCTAACAGCACACCCTGTGTGGCTAACTTGATTTGAACAGTCACTGCATTGAAAGATATAGATGGTATCGATATGTTAACATATACACCCAGCGATGAGAAATAAACAAATCACCTGTACCTATTGGATGAGAATGAAACAGTTACGCATTCAAAAGCGAATTATATTTCTCAAACTGTTACAGGGTATAAAATGAAGGTTTGCCTATGAGAAGTTGAAGATTGACTTATTATTATGAAAATCTGCATTTGTCTGTTTGCGCTAATTTCCTTTCCATCATATCTGCTTGCTGAATTTATACTTTTACATCCTGTGCATTAAATAGTGATGCACTCTTTTTTTATATTATGTGATGTATTTCAGTAAACTTTAATTCAATTTGGAACTTAATATCATTAATCTTCTAGAAAGGTCATTGCTGTCGTCTGCTCGTCCCAAATTTTCCCCTAAGAGGATGATTTCATGAGGGGTTTCCCTCCAAGTCTGGGGTTGTCTGGAGTGAAAGTAACGTCTGTTAATTACTATTTTCCGTGTATACATCCGACCAATAACCGTATATATCTCTCTCTATCCTCTATAATACTTATGTGTAATATGGTGGCCGATATGTGCCATTTCGTTATTCCGATATATTTTGCTGAGAAATAATGATGTTTAGCTTGGTGAAACCACGATAAACCTCGTTATTTCGATGCGAAATAATGGATTAATGATTTGACAAATATCAGCCTCCGTAGCATGCCTCGATATTTATTGTTATTTTCGGGATAAATCACGGAGGTAAACATTATTTCGCCACGAAATAACGAATAATTAGCGGAGCGAAATGACCATAATCTTCGTCATGTCGCACAGCTAAACATCGCCATAATCTTCGTTATCTCGACCCGCTACGTACTTATCGTTGTCCCCCTAATGCATTATCCTCAAAATAACGCTAATCTTCGATATAAACATACTGGGATAAAGTAATATGAGAAATTTAAGAGAGTTTAACTTTCATGTGAAAATCATTTTATTTTTTCAATTTAACAACATGTAAGATAAAATGGAATATACATTCAAATGCTTAAACAGGTTTATCTCCCTTGCGTTGTCAGAAAAGTCATAAGCTTTTTTCTCTATTATTTTCGTTGATTTGTTTTCAATTTCTAAAATGACGCTTTGTGAAAGTCCAGAGCCCGTATTCATGAAATCGTTCTCATGCTCAAACATGAACTATGTGCTCAAGCCAATTTTCTTGAAACTCGCTTAAGTCATGTAACACGGTCAAAAAGCCAAGTGTAAATAATGAAGATAGTATTTCGCCACTTCATTCCATATAGTTGACAAAATGTGATTTGTTTTTAATCTATCGCAGAAACAAAATATTTGGCTTGAGCAAAGAATCTGAGTTTAAGCATGATAATGATTTCATGAATACGGGCCCTGGTCTTTTAAAAGAGTATTATTAATATTTCAATCATTTGGAAACCAATACATGTAGGACTTGACATGTAGTCTTTTAATTACACAAGACATGACGTTTTCCTTACCTCATTTGTAGTGCGTGATAACTTGCGATCAATAAAAATACGTGCTAGTTTCATGTCCTTGTTTGGGGTTTTTCCGTCATCATTTACGACCTTCGCACTTTTGAGGAGGTTTAATCCTGAAGAACGCAATACACATTTTCTTTAGACTTTATGTTACAATTAGTTTTTCGGAAAAAAAAGTGGGATAGTTAATTAGACAGTTCTAGTCATTTAAATTTTGGCTTTTGATTCGATTAAAAAACGAAAAGGTTCGAATGGAAACATGATCAAGAGTTTCGTGTGAAATAACTGTTTGTATCATATTGTGTTTGTTTTCATACCGATAACAAGATATCGATATGGCCCTCTTGTAAACAACATTTAAAAAAAAAAATCCATGATGTCTTGCAGAGATACCTGTAACAACGCACTGGAAACAGTTTTTTTATCGGCTTCACTTTTGATGGAATTTTTCCCTGAAAATAAAATCATACATTCTGGGACTTTTATGAAGAAATGAAGACAAACAAAGCAAAACAGAATCGATAACGTTAGCAGTGCTCTTGTTATACTATCGCTCTCACCGACTGAGCTGCAATATATGTACCTGATCAACGAAAGTGAATTGGCACATCTGTGCTGCGGTAACATCAAAATCGGAATTAAAGTAAGGTTGCAGTATAAACGAAAAAATACAATGTACCGGGACGGGGATCCTTAAATAATGATTTCGTCCTGGTGGCGTAGTGGATAGAGCTTCTACCTTTCACCAAGGCGGCTGGGGTTCGATTTCCCGACCTGGGTTTTCTTCGAGTACTCTGGTTTCCTCCCACAGTAAGACCCCCACGCGTTGACATCCGGGCCACCAAGAGTGATTCATACAAATGTAAATGACTTGTTGCATTATTGTTGTAAAATAAATAAAGTATGCATTGTATTTATATCAAATAAAGGTTTTAACAATGATTCGGTATAACACCTTTGACAAATCATGGATATTGTGGATATGTTTATCATATATCGTGTGCATATGTACACACGATATGTGCCGGCACTTCCGGTGCATCTATTTCACCTCGGCGCTTATATTGTGCTAGTGATAAATGTATCACCTTTTGTTTGAAGTTCTCCATGGTTCTTGTTGCCTTTTCGTATCGAATTGAGATTTGACTTGTTGTTGCATAATGATGCTGTGCGATATATATATTGTTTTTTACATTATACATTATCCTCCTGCTTCAGTTTAAGCGTGTGAGCGTAATGATTGTTTGTGTTTTACGACCTGTTACTTGCTATGATCATTGAAGGGCTTGCTAGGTTTTGGTGATGGAGGGAAGCCGGGGTAACCGGAGAAAAAACATCGACCTGCCCCAGTTCCTAGATAAAGTTCACTGTTACTATTATATGAGTACACTGACACACATGTACACCAACCCCCCGCCTCTAGTGTACAACAACACCCCGCCTCTAGTGTACACCAACCCCCCGCCTCAAGTGTACAACAACCCCCCGCCTCTAGTGTACACCAACACCCCGCCTCTAGTGGACACCAACACCCCGCCTCTAGTGTACAACAAAACCCCGCCTCTAGTGTACACCAACACCCCGCCTCTAGTGTACAACAAAACCCCGCCTCTAGTGTACACCAACACCGCGCCTCTAGTGCAAACATTATACACATAAAGGCACGTTTCTAACCATTTTTGTCAGGTTAGTAAGTATGGATTATGAGCAGTTCTTTTCACACAACAAATGAGATTTTCTATGTGACTTTTCGATGACTAGTAAGATATGTACACTGTCACCTTCATCAGACAAATGACCAGTGCAGCGTATGTACACAAAGGTGTAAAATGTGTATGAATTGTCCACAAAATCGATGTCGATTTCGGCAACGCTGTAAGCGTATGATTCACTGGTCATTTGTCTGATGAAGGTGACAGAGTACATATCGTACTAGTCATCGAAACGTCACATAGAAAAATCGAACTGGTTGTGTAAAATGAACTTCTCATAACAAATGCACGTGCTTAAATTATACAATTTTCGGATAGGACCATGTTGTCAGTATTGTTTAATTTTTATATCAACCATTTGCCAGACAAGTCTTTGAGGTAATGTATTATCGAATAAAGATTAAGGCTATTGTTCCTGTAATATGTTGACAATTGCACCAACATCACGCCTGGCGATCGTCCAACGTAGGCCTCGATTCCGGCGCGATCCCATGGGTAAGGACTGATGATTGTAGACGTTAAGACGCCTTAACTACTTTAATTCGCCACTGCGGCCCCATGCTGGTTGCATTTTGACAAATCAATCGATTCCTATCATGGTTTTGTCAATTTAAAAAAACAAAAAAAATCCAAACAAACATTGTTCAATGTGATTTTCATCAAAAAGGCGGAGGCGCGTTTCATAGAAAGAAAATGAAGATAAAATGTAAACCCATTAAAATTTATTATGCATTTAAATTCATTTATTCACCGGAATTTTGATAATAACAAAATCAAAACTCCGACAATATTGTATCCAATCAAACAACATGAAGGAATCTGATTGTTAACAACATGAAGGATACAATGTAATCCATCACAAGGTGTTCATAGCTAGTTACACTGACAGTGTAAGGGGGCCGCGGTGGCAAAGTAGTCAAGGCGTCTGACATTCTGCTACCACTAACCCTCCACCACTGGGTCGCGTGTTCGAGGCTTACGTTGGGCTGTCGCCAGGTACTGGATGTAGGTCGGTGGTTTTTCTCCGGAAACTCCGACTTTCCTCCACCAACAAAACCTGGCACGTCCTTAAATGATCATAACTGTTAATAGGACGTAAAACACAAACAAACCAAACCATTCCTGACAGCGTTCATGAATATTAGATCAGTAAAGTGACAACAATTGCTCGTAATTATACCTTGTGTGTTGTTTAACCAATAGTCTAACGTGAAGGATCCCCTTACCACTGCCAAAACTGTTACTAAGTGTTGGAAACTGTTTTTTTCTGGAATTACTACAATAAATTGTTTCTGAAAAGAAAAAAATATATACCTTACGGGACTTTGATGATAAAATGAACAGAATATAATATAATGAACAACGGTGTTATGAA